GGAGAGCCAGTGCAAGTCCCAAAACTGAAGAACTTGGGAGTCCAATGTTCGAGGGCAGGAAGCATCCAGCATGGGAGAAAGATGTAGGCTGGGAGGCTAGGCCAGTCTCTCTTTTCACATTTTTCTGCCTGCTTACATTCTAGCCACACTGGCAGCTGATAAGATTGTGCCCACAAGATTAAGTATGGGTCTGCCTTTCCCAGCCCACTGACTCAAATGTTAATCTCTTTTGGCATCACCCTCACAGACACACCCAGGATCAATACTTTGTATCCTTCAATCCAATCAAGTTGACACTAGTATTAACCACCAGAGTAGGTATCATATGCATTTATATTAAGCTCTTCAGTGTCAATCACAGTCCCCGGCCCAGAGTGGGTACTTATTAAATGTCAACCAATTGAATAAATGGTTAAAAGTTGAGTAAAAGACTTTTAATTAACTGCATTATTAAGTCAAAAGATGAAGGCAGCAAATAATAGAAGGGAAAAAATAAGAGTTCTAGAATAGAAATGAAAATGATTACTTCTGTGCCTGATCCTAGATTGGGAAGTCATTTAGTACTCCTGTGCCTGTTAAGTTAAAAAGTTGAACACAATTTTCTCTAATATCATTTCCATTTCTAAATTTTTTTTAAACAATGAAATGGTCATCATCCTATGTATAAATATTCACATAGAAGCCAGGCACAGTATCGTCTGCCTGTAATCCCAGCACTTTAAAAGGTCAAGGCGGGCGGATCACTTGAGCTCCGGAGTTCAAGACCAGCCTGGGCAGCATGGCAAAACCCCATCTCTACCAAAAATACAAAATAATTAGCTGGGTGTGGTGATGAGTGACTATGGTCTCAGCTACTTGGGAGGCTAAGTGGAAGGATGGCTTGAGCCTGGGAGGCGGAGATTGCAGTGAGCTGAGATAGTGCTACCGCACTCCAACCTGGATGAGAGAGTGAGACCCCATCTCAAAAAAAACTAAAAAAGAAAAAAAAAAAAAGATTCACATACACTAAACATCTCTTAACCAATGTTCACTGAACTCACCAGATTAATCCAAGTTTTCTATCCCCCCTAAAAAAACATACCGTCTGAGCAAAGGCTCTCAAATTACCTGGAGCATTTGTTAAAACACAGATTGTTGTCCTCTCCTACTGCCCCAGTTACTAATTCATTATGTCTGCAGTGAGACCCAGTAATTCACAATTCTAACAAGTTCCCAGATGACATGAATGCTGCTGACCCAAAGATCCACTTTAGAGAATAACCACTCTATGGTAAGCACCCACTCACCTCTTTTGCTATCACTGACTTGTCTGACTACCAAAGGTCAGGTTCCCAAACCTGTATACTCCAGCTGAAACTGTTCATTGTCTTCACACTAGATAATTATCATGTAAATGTACAGAAGGGATTCATTTTCAAATTATCTGTTGCATTTACATGTGAGAATTCTGTGATATATCGGGAAACAGTCATAAAAATCTTGGATTTTGTACTCAAATTTCCTCCCAAGCATCTTTTTCAGTCCCACTAAAAGTAAAAATAGTAGGTGATGAACTGCATGGTGTTGAACATATCATGGGCACAAATGGACATGAGGAAATCTGGGCGTGATCGGTATGTACATCATCTTAGCTGTGATGATCTTTTCTTGAATGCGTGTGTGTAAGATAAAATACATTAATGTCTGCTACTTTAAAATGCAACAAAAGACAGGTGGATATGATAAACCACGTATAATGAAACATTAACACAATCTAAGTGGTGAGAACATGCCTTTTCATTGTACAATTCTTCTAACTCTTCTATATTTTAGAAAAATTTCAGATGTTTGGGAATAGTTTATAATCTTTGACAAAAAAAAAACTGCTTATAAGATAGTAGTTATTACGTGACACCATTTTTTGCTTATGTGTGTTTGTGTGTGAATTTACAGAAGTATACGTGTGTATGAGGGCATATAATTATGTATGTTGCATATTCAACTGTGCCCTCTTAACCAGATCTGTCCTTTCAATTAACTTAAAAAATACTCAAGTCTTTCCTATCCCCAAACAACACAAAACAAACAAACAAGAAACTCCCTCAAATTCTCACCTCTCTCTTCAGCTACTACTAGGTTACTTTTATTCCCTTTCAAAGCCACATTTCTTAAAGAGGTAAATATACTTTCTGTGTCCATGTCTTCAACTACTCCATTATGGTTTGTGCCTGAAAGCTCGAGCAAAATGGTTGTTGCTCACCATACCAATGATTTCTATGTCACTAAAACAAATGGACATTTTTCAATCCTCATCCCCCAAAGAATGTAAAATGTTAAATTCACCTACTTTTAAATTTGAAATGAGGGAAGGAAACTTAGCTTAAAAGAAAAGTTCAATTTCCTATCATGGCCAAATTAGAATATAAAAAGGGGGAAACTTAAGGGATGAAATCAGGAAAAAGAGAAAAAAAGAAGATAAAACTATGGCTCAAACAGTAAATGTCAATGGTCTGTTTTTATTATCAATTAATTTTACTACATTTTGAAATTCCAGTTAACACATTAATCATTCACATTTCTTCAACTGCCTTTGTCATCGTATCTACAGAAGCTCTATCTATCTATAGAATCTCTATCTTAAATATTTTACTATGAACTGTAAAATAAAGTACATTTCTTTGTAACATGGGTTTCAGAGATGAAAGCCTTCAAATTTGAGAATAAAATGTATACCAGAATTTGATTTGAATTATATTTAAGCTGCAGGGTAATGGTTTCCAAACAGTCCACTTTTGTAGCACCCTCATGTTTCTTATTTTGAAGTTGAACATCAAAGAATTGTGGCAAGAAACATTCTACCATAGGCAAAAATTGTAAAAGTCTATGTGAAAATAGTTATAGTAGGGCTTTAATTAATTAATTTTCCTTCAGTACTCATTTGTAATCTTGGTCACAGATGGTACGACTGAAATACTAGGGTTTCGGTCTAAGACCTGCTACTCACCATATAGAAAGTCAATCACTGAGACAAGTATTGTCAAGGAAAAAGGCTTTAATCTGGCACTGTAGCCAAGGATCAGTCTCAAATCCATCTCCCTGACTGACTAAAATTAGTTTATACAGCAGGGAAGAAATAAAACAGGAACATGAGAAGGCTAAGGAAGTAATCTGATGAATGAGGCCTGGCATCTCACTGTCTGGACCCTATGGTTTGGTGAGTTTCATTTTTTGATACTTTTTAAGAGGCCTGGGGGTCCTTTCGTGAGGAAGGAACTCAGATAAACAGAAGTTTCAAGCTTTAGGACCAGAAGGGGTCAATTTCTATGTTTATCCAAAAACAAACAAAAAACAAAACTGTCTATGGGACCAATGGGTCAGTTTCAATGGCGGTTTCTTGAAGGCTACTTTCTATATTCTTGCTATCTATCCTCCACTTGCACACAGGACATGCTAAATAATTGTTTGTAGAATATAGGAAGAAAGCAAATTCACTTATTCCACAACCAATTATTTAGCATGACCAATGTGCAGATCTAAAAACTATCTGCACTGCCTAAGCTTGAAGGAACATAGAATGTGGTTAATGGTAATATGATTATTGAAAGACTTTATGTCAGCCTAGCTTTTCACACCAGACCTTTACACGCAGTAGCATTATTTGGCTATTTTTTTTCTTTTCTTTTTCCTCATTCCGTCATTGGTGGCTGAAATTTGACTATTTATAAATATTAAATTAGTTTTTCACTTACCTTTGAGTTCCAATAACTAATGGAGGTAATATGAAGAAGAAAATAGCTTAAACTCAATTATAAGAAAGGAAACAGAATAACAACTTAATTACCAACTAGGCACACACATCTGAAAATCTGAATTGTTTAGTATAAAGTCTAGATTCAAAATTCTTTTCGGATCACAAACCTCTTTGAAAATCTAGGGAAAGCTAAAGACCCTCTCGTAGGCAGATTCTGACAGGCTCACAGTAATACCCACTTCTTAGTATTCCCAATCTTGTTTAATCTCCTTCCCTTGAGTTCTGGCTGGACCTAGCGACTTGCTTCTAAGAAGAGATTATGACAAAAGTAAGATTATGACTCACCAAAGACCATGGCTTCCGTTTCACTAGTGCAGTCTCTTGACATCTTACTTGCTCTCCTTGATGACGCAAGCTAACTTGTGTGAGATGCCCCATGAAGAGGCCCTGTGGCAAGAAAGCAAAGGAGGCCTCCAGCCAACAGCTCACAAGAAACGGAGGCAAAGAACCCACAAGGAACTGAATCCTGCCAACAACGAAGTGGGCTAGGAAATGAATCTTCCCCAGTCAACTTGAGATGACTGCAGCCTTGCAAGAGGTAAAGCTATAACCCAGCTAGGCGGCAGCTGGATTCCCAACCCGCAGAAACTGTCAGACAATACATGAATATTGTTTTAAGCTGCTAAACGTTGGCATAATTTGTTATACAGAAACAGATCCCCTCTTTAGAAAAGTACTTAAGTGCACATATTCTAGTACACATTTTAGGGAATTTGGAAGTCTCTCTGAAGTTCACAAACAGAACTCCTAGTGACCCAGGGATTCAGATTATGAAACTTCTAACATGATAAACTTCAAACAATATGCACAAAAGGCCTGTAGGAAATCAATTTAACCATGCTATGTGGTGTACCAAACATTAGAATACTTTTCTTCCATAAAGTATTAAGAAAGTTAAATGACTTCAAATATATTATATCTTAGTACCAGCCTTTCCAAAGGTAAAAATCAAACCAAGTTATATAAAACATTATTTTTAAATAAAATATTTCATAGGTACTAAAGTACTGATGATAAAATAACTGAGTCATTGTCCTCAACTTTGAGGACTGCACTATCTAGTTGGTGAGACAAACACATACACACGAACACACAAAATAGCTATCATAACAGTTAGCAGTACAAATAGAGATGTACATATAGTATCCTCTCATGTACACAGTAAAGTGACTTTACTGAATTGTAATTGTAATGTAATTAAAATAAATACCTGTACTGTTTTTCCAAGCCCCATGTCATCACCAAGAATGCACCCTCTTCCATGGATGTAGTGTCCATAAAGAAACTGGGCTCCTTCTCTTTGATAGTCTCTCAAATATCTATTGATGGTATAAGGAATAGAGTCTCCATCATCAGATAATTTAAAAGCAATAGAAGACGATGGAAATTTTCGGTTTGGAAAATAAGGTTTTTCCAAATCTTCATCATCAAATATAAGATTCCTGGGGCAATCTTTAACAAATTTTATTTCTTGCAGCTGTTTAAGAGGTATTTTCCTTTCTTGAAAATCTGAATATAAGATGACTGCAAATGATTTGCCATTTTCATCCACTGTGATAGATTTTATGCTTGCTTCACAAAATTTTCCATTATCTGGAGAAGGGGCAAGACATCTTTCTCCTGGATGCCATATGTCTGCAATAATAAAAGAGAAAATAAAATTTCCAAAGCTAGCTTATAAAGTAACACCTCATTTATCCACAGCTATGAGAAAAAAATATATACCTCACATAAATCCCTTTTCCAAAAAACCTGCAACAAGATAAATTATAACATATATGTTTTTCTAAAATATATTTTCAGATATTCTTCTACAATAAACAGAATAAAGGGTACATAATTTATTTCCAGTGGTTCTTTCCCTGGCTGTGCGTCATCATCTCTCCTGGAGTTTAAGAATATACATTATTAGACACCACCTCTGGTGATCCTTATTCAGCGGATATGCATCATGGGCATCTGGTCTTATTGTTTTGTTTGGTTGTTACTGTTGAATTCAAAAGATAATTCTGATGCATAGCCAGGGTTGAGAACTACTGACTCAAATATTCTTGCTGTCATTCTCACACACACACACACACACACACACACACACACACACACACACATTTCATGATATGGTAGAGTAATCACGAATAGGACTTGGTAATGAGTAAAGTAAAATCCTCTGGACAGCAATACTCTGTGGTTCATCTGTCTGCTCCTATAATTATTCCATCACCTATCTCTAGAAACAGCTGTTTCTTTTCACTGTCAATACTGCTGCTTCTAAACCTTTAACCACTGCTTGTATACAGCTAACCATAGGAACCTCCAATTCAACTACAGTGATGTCACAGCTTTTTCTCTGCTGAGTTTTGAGTAACAATTTTTAGAGGTTAATTCTCAGATCTTTTTCTGCTAAGGTCCTATTATTCATTAAAGAGCATGACCTATCTCCTGAACTTATTATGTGCTTAACTGTACAGCTATCTATTTTATTTTCTCAGAAAATATAGCACTATGCATGAAGAGGGAGTCTATTGAGTATACTACTGGCACAATCAAATAAAGAAAACTAAGTAAAAACAATTTTCCAAATGGAATTTCTTACAGCAAGAATCCAAAAATAATTCTATGGCTACAAATATAAGAACACCAGGAATTATTTTTCTTATACATTTCTCACTGAGATCAGATGACCACTGGCAGTTTCCTAGGGTCTTCCTGATGACCTCGAGTTAGATTTTTATAATATTCATGATTACCATATGACATGTTTATACTATCTTAAGCAAGAATAGCTCACTATATGCTCATCCATCAGTTGTTCCTCAAAAGTAATGTCACTAACTTTGATGAGGTTATTTTACCATAAAAATAATGAGTACACAGGGAAAAACCTTCTCTCCCACTCTAATCTCTGGAACCAAACTGTTTGACAACTGTTAGACCATTCTAAAAGAGTGTTTTGATGTGAAACTAAAGCCTTGATCCACTGCACAAGTAACAGTAGGTCAATGGGCCCGATTTTCACAACAGTAGTATTTGTACTTTAAAACCTAAAGCAACCTTTACAGCAATTCTTATTACTTCTGTTTCACATTATTTGTTTCTACCCAGCAAATGCTGTATTGCTTTATAAGACTTATTTTTTTTATCTATTATTCAACATATTTAAGCACAAATTATATTACACCACACAATGGGTATAAAATGAAGAAAACCAATATAAAAAATGATGGTAATAGCCTTCCTACATCTCATTAATTGGCATCATCATTTAACCAACTTTTCAAGGTAGAAAACTATTAGTCAGCCCTTAATCCTCATGTAATATTACTCCTTACATCCAATCCATCAGAATGTCCTGGTTCTGCTTCAAAAATAAACAACTTTCCTCCATGCCACCATCTCTCTAAAAGCAAAGGCTGGCAAGCATTTTCCGTAGAGTCAGTTATTAGCTATTTGTTACTTTAGATTTTGTAGGCCATACATTCTCTTGCCCTTGTAATGCAAAAGCAACCAGACAATACATGAACAAATGGGCACAGCTGTGTTCCAATAAAGCTTTATTTACAAAAAGAATTGTCAGACCAGATTTAGCCTACAGGCAGTAGTTCGCTGACTGCTGCCTTAAAGCATGTCACCACCAACCTTCCCTAAATTATTCTTAACTAGTCAGTCTCTCTGTTCCCAGTCCACCTATTTAGAGGAGGGTACCCCATTATTCTCTATCTCATAATTTTATTGCCTCTGTAGCACTTGCCATAAGATTTAATTATCATGTCCACTTGTTTTTTTCTTCCACCGGAGAGTAATTTCCATTCCAAGAAAGTCTGTACTGTTATAAATTTTATCCCCAGGATCAACACAGAGCCACACAGCAGACATTCAATAAACATGTGATGAATGTATTCCACATTCTTTTTTTTTTAAGACAAGAGTCCGTTGCCCAGGCTGGAGTGCAGTGGCACAATCTTAGCTCACTGTAAACCTCAACTCCTGAGCTCAGCAATCGTCCCATTTCAGCCTCCTGAGTAGCTGGGACTACAGGTGTGCACCACCATGCCTGGCTAAATTTTTTATTTTTAGTAGACACAGGGTCTCGCTTATGTTGCCCAGGCTGGCCTCAAACTATCCTCCCGCCTCAGCTTCCCAAAGTATCGGGATTACAGGTGTAAGCCACTGCACCTGGCCTATTACAAGTTATTGATCTCACAGATCCTTGATATTTTGCGAGAGAGAAAACTAAAAAGTACACAAACATACACATAACTGTAAAAAGTGCATTGGAAGAGAAGAGTGCTATGAGAAGGGAGTATTGAGAAATGTTAATTTAAAAGGGAAGAGAGTCTAAGAACTGTATCTCAGGTAAGTGCATAGCATGTGCAAAAAGAAAAAAAAAAAAAGCCTTAAAATCACACAACTTATTGGACTACCTTTGGTCTCTGAATCTGGATAATTTCTAGAATGAAATAAATTCAGTTAAGTTTGAGTTAGGAATGGATTCCTCAGTATCCAAACTCCAGAACAATTGCTGAAGTTGGGAGGATTTCCTGTTGGATTTAACAGGGAAATGGGTTAAGTCTCCTATAATTTGATGACTCCAAATCATTTGTTTTGGTTTAAACTAATTACCAATTCAACTCATTCTGGTGATAGGATCTCGCTCTCCCTCTCACTCCAATGGCCTCCTGGCTATTCCTCAAGCATGTTCCCTCCCTGGAGCTTTCTGCTCCTTCCACCAATACAATTTCCCTAAACACCAGAAAGATTAGATTTAACAGAAGGAAGGAAGAATATCCACTCGCAGCTTCATTTATTTATTTTTACCTGCCAGGCTCCTATAGCTTTTATATGTGTGGTCCCTGAAGTACAGCGTCATCAATTCCAAGACCTCAGAATTCAGGCTTGTTACTTGCCCTCTCTGAGCTTTACCTCTGAATTCTTCATCTATTTAATGAGATCGGTATCTTCCTCAAAGGAAAGCAAGTAAACAGCATATTGCTGGACTCAGAAAAAAACCACTCAATACCTGGTAGCTTTTGTTATACAGCACTATTATCAATGGAAGCCATTCATTTGGGTGCCAGAAGGCATCCCAGATGACTTGTGGCAGACAACCACACATTCTTTAAAACCCCTCTTGGTGACCCATTTAAGGCATAAAGTCCTGACTTGATATGCAATAAAACTCAACAAAATATCTCCACCTTCATTTATTTACGTACTTACAACAAACTTCTGCCATTCACTAACAACTGGGACTTACAAGAATGAAAATATTTAACGTTTACTGAGTGCTTTGTACGGGCCAGACGCGGGGTCACAAAACTGCTTTGCCTATTCCCCATGTCATTTAATAATCACAAGAACCTAGTAATGAACCCAATTTTCAGATGAGGAACCTGCCCAAAGTCGCTCCGCAAGTAACTGTCAGAGTCAACATGGATCCCAGAGGCTGACTCCCGAGTTCAGGTTCTCAACACTGAATCGCAGACTGGTCCCAGTCCTGGAGGGAGTCACAATCTGCAGCTGTCACTGAAGAGGAGCTACAGCGCAAAACCTCAACACGAAGGGCACCGGCAAGAACTGGTCCAACGCGACGCAGCACAGAAGCGTCGGGGAAGGGGCGAACGCGCAGCTGGTACCTTTGCCGGCGGTTTCCGCGCGGGGCTGTGGCGCCGAGGGATCCATCCGGCCAGGGGGCGGGGCCGAGCCCAGCTGCACGTAACACCCGGAAGACGGCAGAGGACTGCGAGGTGCTCGGCCGGCGGGCCAATGGCGGCCAACGCCACTTCCGGCCGCCCTCCGAGCATCGCTCTCCAGCAACCCAAAGCCAGGCGACGGGGGGAGGGGGATCCCAGCAAAGGTAGCGACTGAAGGGACCCAAGGAGAAGAGGAGGGCGACGTCCGGAGCGGCGGCAGAGCCAGGGGACGCTGTGTGAGGCTGACAAGGCGGCGATTACCTAGTCCTTTTGGGCTTCGCCGCCGTCGGTGGAGGGCAGGAGGCGGGCACAGCGGCCCCGAAACCTCCTTCTCAGGCTCTGGCCGCCCTTTCCTAACCCCTGCAACATCCAACGCGGTCTTGGAAAATCCCGCGAGAACAGGCTCCGAATTGTGACTGGGTTCTCGCGAGAAAGAAATCTTCCTTTCCGTGGGCGGAGCAATCTTCCCTGCGTCTCTCCCCTAGGAGGCCTGTGGCGGGAAGGTCCGCGGGAGTTGCTAGTGTCGCGAGGTTTCAGGTCGCTCTGAGCAACGCTGGAAAGAACTGGGGAGCTTGGGAGCGCTGTGGCTGTCAGGAGCAGCCGAGGCGGTGGAGGCCTGGCTGAGGGCGTCCCCACGGTCGCGGCTTCTGACCTCTCTGTGCAGCTTGGTTCTTCCGCGGTGGTGCCGCACCCCAGGAACTTCAGGAGCTGCCCCCGGGCCCAGCACGGGGCCAGGTGAAATTAGCGCGTTTTCCTGGATCCTGCAGTTTATAGTGTATCATAAATACTTTAAATCCAAAGCCAACAACATTTGCTACAAATAAACGTAGAAATACTGTTGAAGTGTAGGCTGTTTTCCTCCGTACCATCTGACGTTTCCAGCGGTTCGTTGAAGGCGGGAGAGCGCTGAGCTGTCCGCACTGCGCCTGGGAGCATCCTCAGGGCAGCGCCGCCCACCTGCGGGGTGAAGGACGCGGCCTCTGACGCTCCCAGGCAGCACGGATGGACGGATCCCTAAGTGGCTCCCGTGCATGTTGAAGTGGCTTTGTGTACTACGTATATCGCGGATTTAGTGAAATACCTGGCGGGGCCTGTATACGTTCTCTATTGCCACAATAACCAGTGACCACAACCTCTGCGGCTTGAAGCAGCGCGATGTGTCATCTTGCGGACAACACATTGATTATCTCGCAGTTCTGTCGGTCGGAAGTACTCCCTGGGTGTCACCCGGGCTGCATTCCTTTCCAGATACCACAGGACGATCTTTTCCTTGCCCTTGCCAGCTTCTGTCGACTTTCCTTGGCTTTGGTCCCTTCCTCCATCTTCAAAGCCAGTGATGTGCCATCATCTCTCTCAGCCTTCCATCCTCAAGTCTACCGCTGATTGCAGGTGGGAAACATTCTGAGGGCTCGCCTGAGTCATCCAGGATCATCTTCCCATTTCCAGGTCTCTGCCCTTAATCACATTAGCAGACTCCTTTTGCCACGTAAACGAATATATTCAGGAGTTCCGGAGATTAGGAGATAAACATCTTTGGGGGATCATTATTTTGCCTATTTTAAGAAAACAATATGGCTGCTTGTTCTGCAAATAGATGTCAGTTCTTTGGCAGATACTAAAAATTAGTAGTATGCTTTTTAATAAAATGCATTATAATATCACTTGTTTGCTTACCAGCAAGTAATAACTTTAAGCCGAAGTGAAACATCGAACTCAGCCATCTATGTGTGCTATGTTGGCCAGATCACTTCCCTGCATTTTAGTGTCCTCGCCTATCACCGTAACAGTGAGCCTAATATAGTTAACCACCTAAAAACGGTGACTGTAAAAAAGAAGATAAGTGAAACTCCTAAAACAGTGGCTGCTCATAGTAAGGCATATATGTGTTGCTATTGCAATTATTATCAATGGAATGTATCCACTTGAAAGTTGCATTCTACATGGCCATGATGTCAGTTTAATATTTTGGCTAATAGGCCCGGCGCAGTGGCTCTCGCCTGTAATCCCAGCACGTGGGAGGCTGAGGCGGGCGGATCACGAGGTCAGGAGATGGAGACCATCCTGGCTAACACGGTGAAACCCCGTCTCTACTAAAAAAATTAGCTGAACGTGGTGGTGCGCACCTGTAGTCCCAGCTACTCGGGGGGACTGAGGTAGAAGAATCGCTTCAACCCTGGAGGCGGAGGTTGCAGTGAGCTGAGACTGCGCCACTGCACTCCAGCCTGGCGACAGAGAGACTCCGTCTCACAAAAAAAAAAAAAAAAAAAGTGGCTAATAGTTGGTAGTACATTATTACTTAAATTAGAAATTTAAACTAGATTTTAACTTAAAACGCTGTAGATATTAAGATATATTTTATGTACAGCTAAGAAAAGAAAAAATACTGCTAATTATAATTGTAACTCTTGATTCTAACATACACCCTGATATTGGAAATCTTAAAATCTAGAAAAATCTGCTTCTTAGTATTGATGGATTATATCTCTTTTCACATTGTCTCTAAAATCAAAATGGCAGATGGAAACTACAATCAAGCTTATTTTTTTCCCCCTACAACTACCAGGAAAACAGTTTGATTTTTTTCCTCCCCTCTCTGAAATGACTAGTTGTATAATTTCGTCTTATTTTTCAGGAGTCCATTGAATTAAGATGTAAGCTCTTGACAGAGCTGACCTCTAACTAAAAGTGATAAGCAAATTCAGAAATAAATTTTGATTTAAATGGAAGGTATCATCTGGTTAAAGGAATACCCTTGTGACTAACAAAAGAGGATACCTCATTTTCTGAGTGTTCATTATTTAACCTTACTGCTGTACTCAACATTGTACACTGAAGCAGAAATAATCATGACGTGAAAGTATGTCCTAATGAACTAGTTGCCTCATAAAATTAGACATCCTCAAATATTCCTTCCCCCACCTAATAATAGTAGCTTGTGTCTTTGCATTGATATCATGGTCTAGGTGCTGATACTGTGAACATCTAGCACTCTGAGTCCTGTAACTGCAAACTCAAATTGAATATCTTGTAAAATATGCAGAAATTCCTGGAGTTAATATTTGTGATGTTGAATAAATCACATGAATGAACTGAATCGCATGCAAAACTGCTGACAAAGGAAGATCTAGCAAAAATTAAGCCAATTACAACTACAAAAGAGAAAAAATAGCACAGATGGTGATAACAGCCATTTCAAAAGAGGCTCATGGAAGGATGACTAAACCCACCAATATTTTGCCAAAAAGTAGTCTCTTTTTATGTTCACACTGCAAAAGTCAAATATATACCTGTATGTGGTTGACAGATTTCCAGAATTGTGAGTTAATCCAGCAAAAAGGCCCCAGGGGGAAAAAAAAAGATATGAAACACTAAGACAACGCAAGAAATTAAGTCTTTGAGTTTTAGTTAGATGATTTTAGGTTGCAGCATTTCTCCCTTCATGCATTGTTCCAGCCAAAAAAAAAAAAAGAAGGAAGAAAAGACGAGCAAAGGCAAGAGAAAGGACATAAAATAGATGTGTCATTCCTTGCCATGAATAACCTAAATCTTAAAGTTTAAAACCCAATGAATGTTGCACAACAATGTAAACACAGTTAACGCTATTGAACAGTACGCTTAAAAATGGTTAAAGAAGGTACATTTTGTGTTATGTGTTCTTTCTTACCACAATTTAAAAAGCAAAACAAAAGAAAAAAAAGCTCAGCCAAAGAAAGAAAACTTAGAGCCTTGAGCGAGGTATAGCAAAAGATATATAGAGTCAGTGATAGAAATATGTCATGGTCCCATGTAATGAATATTATTATTATTACACCTTGAATATACACCAACACCAGTTTTGCTTCATAGACTCAATAAATAATAGAACTTGAAATCTTAATGATCACTTGATCTAAGTGTTCTAATTTAAAGGTAATGAAATAGCTTGAGAAATGTTAGATTATCTACCCAAGGTCACAAAATAGCAAATAACAAAGTTAGGACCAGAACACAATTCCTGACTCTCATTCCAACGTGACAGAACTATAAAATACTATTGCACAGGAGAGATTTTTAGATTTGAAAAATTAGAATTTATGATCGTATTTCATGAATATTTAATACCTCATGTGAGATAAGTATAAAAATTCTGCAACAAAACACCAAGAACTACTGGTTGAAATACATTTATAAAAACTCTCAAATGAAAAAAGGAATGCTTATACACTGTTAATGAGAATGTAAATTAGTACAACCTCTATGGAAAACAGTATGAAGATTTCTCAAAGAACTAAAAATAGAATTACCATTTGATGCAGGAATCCCACTATTATCTACCCAAAGGAAAAGAAATCATTATATCAAAAAGAAACCCACACTTGTATGTTATCACAGTAAAGTTCACAATAACAATGTTATGGAATCAATCTAAGTGTCTATCAAGAGATGACTGGATAAAGAAAAATGTGGTATGTAAACACCATGGAATACATTGCATCCATAAAAGAAGGAATAAAATCATGTCTTTTGCAGCAAGATGGATGGAACTTGAGGCCATTATCTTAAGTGAAATGACTCAGAAACTGAAAATTAAATACCACGTGTTCTCACTTAGAAGAGGGAGCTAAACAATAGGTACATATGGACGTGAAGAAGGAAATAATAGACACAGAGGACTCCAAAAGTGGGTAGGATGGGAGAGGGGTGAGGGTTGAAAAGTCACCTATTGGGTACAATGTTTACTCTTTGGGTGATGGGTAGAGTAGAAGCCCAAACCTCACCATTATGCGATATACCCATGTAACAAACCTGTACTGTACCCCTTGAATCTATAAAAATTTAAAAAATAAAGAAAATCTCAAAATGCATAGCTGAGTTTTCAAAAAGTATATGAAATACCCGTGACCAAAAATAAGGAAGAAGTGGAAAACTAGCTTACTAAGATGATGCTTATACCACTCCTTTCCTGGACACATTTGTTTGGCTCAGTTAACAGTCTTGTGGGAGCAGAAGACATGGTCTCAAGCTCCCACAAGGTCCCACATTGAAACTGAGACTCTCATTTGAAATCAGAAAGCTTGAAAGGTAACCTCCTTAGTGAAATGGTGAGCTAGAAGAAAAAAATCTAAACAGCAGAAGAGGAGGATAAAGAGGGATTTGTCTGTCTTGGCGTGAGATTTTTGAAGGGGTTTTGTTAATTTCCTCTGAAATTTTGAAACCACAGCTATGCCCTCAAACAAATTTAGGATTTGAATGTATACAATCTGCATGACCTAGGAAACCCCAAGCCAAGATAATAGCATAATGTAGTGCCTGATTAGTTGCATCTAGGTTGCTAGAAAGAAGTAGGCACATCTTTCTGGAGGGAAACATTAAAACAAGTACTCCTCAGAATTTCTGCAGATAAAGTCCCATCTAACAATTCACAACCC